AGCAGAGTATAGAGTGGGATGGTATGGGGCAGAGCACGGTGTATAGAGTGGGATGGTATGGGGCAGAGCACAGTGTATAGAGTGGGATGGTATGGGGCAGAGCACCTTGTATAGAGTGGGGTGGTATGGGGCAGAGCACCTGTTATAGAGTGGGATGGTATGGGGTAGAGCAGGGTGTATAGAGTGGGATGGTATGGGGCAGAGCACAGTGATAGAGTGGGATGGTATAAGGGCAGAGCACCTTGTATAGAGTGGGATGGTATGGGGCAGAGCACAGTGACAGAGTGGGATGGTATGGGCAGAGCACGGTGTATAGAGTGTGATGGTATAGGGCAGAGCACGGTGTACAGAGTGGGATGGTATGGGGCAGAGCACGGTGTATAGAGTGGGATGGTATGGGGCAGAGCATGGTGTACAGAGTGGAAAGGTATGGGGTAGGGCACGGTGTATAGAGTGGGATGGTATGGGGCAGAGCACGGTGTATAGAGTGGGATGGTATGGGGCAGAGCACAGTGTACAGAGTCGGATGGTATAAGGGCAGAGCACGGTGTTTCGTGTGGGATGTTCTGGACCTAAGAATGTACAGCACAGTGTATAGAGTGGGATGGTATAGGGGTAGAGCACATTGTATAGAGTGGAATGGTGTGGGGTCAAGAGTATGCAGAACAGAGTACAGCATGGGATAGTGTGAAGAAGAGAATGCACAGCACATTGTATAGTGTAGAATGGTATAAGGGCAGATAATGGAGTAGGAAGGCGTGCACCCACGCTGCAATCCATTCTAACTACACATTGGAGTGTTTTTTTTTGGTTACTTTATTCAAAGTTAAAAAAGATATTTAGTTTAACTCAATGCACAAGAGCATGTGATGTGCTGACATTGTAACCCATGTATAGGCTACACTCACCAATGCACTTGTACGGGATGAGCAGGCACACAGAGCACAGTCACGGCTCGTTCACACCGGGTACTTTGAGCTTTTTTGATCTGAGCTGATCATTGTGCCTGGCGTGGACGAGCCGTGAATGCTTTATTAGTTACTCAGAAGTATTGAAGCCAGAAAGGACCAGGCAACACACATTTTCAGAAAGGGTCCATTACTGGCCTCCCTTATATTTCTCTGACCGGTACCTTTAAAGCTGAACTCCGGGCAAACAGTCGAATATGCAGTTGAAATATATGAGGTGTATTATTTATTACAGACATTTATATAGCACCAGCAATGCAGATACCATCATTCACATCAGTCCCTGCCCTCGAAGAGCTTACAATTTACGGCTCCTCTCTCACATACTAGGGGCCAATTATCCTTCCAGAGTGTATTTGGAATGTAGGAGGAAACCCACAGCACAGGAACAACATGCAAACTCCATCCAAATAGTGTCCTGGCCAAACTTGGATTCAAACCAGGTACGTATAGAGGGTTCCATTCGGCATTGTTGCAATGCAGAATGGCACCTGCTATAGAGCACTACAAATACCAGCAGTACTTTATACAGCACGTCCATCAGTTAGACTACAAATAATAATCATTTTAATGAACTATTTACCTTCACCTCTTCTGGCTGGTCTTCAACTGTTTCCTAGTGGGGGACTCAGTGTCCGTGTCTGTGTGCTCAGGCGGCTGCTTGCTGGGTCCTCACCTTACCCTAACCCCATCGCTGCCCCATGATGTGCCTGCAGGCTTCTTCTTTCCCCGGCTCCCTCCTCAGGCAGCCAGCGGGCCCCAACATCTCTGTGCCAAGTGTCAGGATCGGTATCTGGCGGGCCCCCCATCCCTGCGCCGGGAGTGTCGGATGATCAGATGACTCGACACTCCCGGCGCAGAGATGGAGGGGGGCCCGCCGGATACCATCTGCGTGGCAAGCCCCACCATCTCTGCGCCGGATTGTGTTGGAGGATACTGGGCCCCCCCAGGCCCAGGTGCAGCTGGCGGTAGGTCCGCCCCTGACCACAGTGCTGTAAAGAAGAAGTGCTTACCACTGAGCTGCCCCCTTGACAATTGCTTATCTGTTAAAGAATTAGATTAAGAACTCACTTTACCCTACTTAATTTTAACAATACAACCAGGTCTTCTGTATTGGAGGTGACAGGTTCAATAAAGAGAACCTGTCACCTCCAAATGCTATCACACAGGGGCTTGTTAGCTAGTTCCTGTGTGATAGCAATAAAGTTTAGTGACAAAAAAAATAGAAAATTAAATAAAATAAAAAATAAAATAAAAAATAATTAGAAACAAAATTATAACAAATAAAAAAGTGAAAGAGAATCAGATAAATATTTTAAAAAATTAAAAAAGTTAAAAAAAGTGTGTGTAGGGAGGGGGGCAATAATGTTCTTTCGCTTGTGTAGGCAAAAATCCTTGCACCGGCCCTGCCCGGGGAAGGAAGAAACTCTTACATGGTCAGCCCCAAATATTTATGTCCTCCCCAGCATGCACCACTGGCCATGACCCTCCTAGTGATAGGCTAGGGAGACACATTCATCCATAATGTAGAAGATCCCCTCACACTCCTGACCAGATAAAGCCCAAATGAAAACTGGGGGGTGCCGAAAGTGAAGCAAATGCCTCCGCACATCAAATGCAATATACCATATAGTCATTCGCACTCCGTTAGTAGATAGCAGTCAATCTTCTTTATTGACTGAACATGATGTAACCTACACAAAGCGACATTTCGGGACCAGATAGTCCCTTCTTCAGGCAAACAACAGTGAACACTATATGGTATATGGTATATGTCCATAACACCCCAGTATTGGTTGCTCTGCTAAATTTAAAGAGTCACCCTGCTTAGGGCTAAGGTGGCTACACATTGTTTCAGTAATCAAACATTTTGTCCCAATTCAGACAATACTTTGCGCAACAGATGATCTCAAAATGCGGTCCACAAGTGACTTCAAAAATATTCAGCAAAAAGATAATAACCGTACACACAACTTAAAAACGTCTTCTTTAAATAGATTCTATCCAGTTATAGATAGCACAACTGCAGCTTATTTTCTTCTGGAAAGCCACTTTGATGTCCTTGTTCCTCAGGCTGTATATAATGGGATTCATCATGGGGGTTAATACTGTGTATAACATGGCCACCAAAGAGTCCACGTCGGATGAGTAGGAGGCTGTTGGACGAATGTACATGAAGATGAGGGGCAGGAAAAATATATTCACCACTGCAAAATGGGAGGCGCAGGTAGAAAATGTTTTCTTGCGGCCAGCATGGGAACTGATTTTGAGGATCGCTATTATAATCTTAACATAAGATATGGCAACTAATGTAAAGCTTATCAAAATGATAAAGGCACCAATGGAAGACCCCACAGCTACGTTGAAGGATGTGTCGGCACAAGCCAACTGGAGCAATGGAGGATGATCACAGTAGTAATGGTGGATGATATTGGGACCACAAAAAGGCAACTTCAAAGCTAGGAAAAGAACTATGAGTATCGTCAAAAAGCCTCCCAACCAGGCTACTGCTGACAGTGCTACATACAATCGTCTTGTCATGATATTTGGGTAGTGCAACGGTGAGCATATTGCTATGTAGCGGTCATAGGCCATTACCGTCAGGAGTAAACACTCAGTTGCTGTCAACGACAGGAAAACATACATCTGTGCAAAGCAGGCGGTGTAGGAAATAGTGTCCAGATTGAACAGGAACTTGGCCAACATCTTCGGGATGGTTACCGAGGTGTAGCTCATGTCTAGGAAGGAGAGATTACCCACAAAGAAGTACATTGGGGTATGGAGGTGCTTGTCAAGAAGGACCAAGGCAAATATAATGCCATTGCCAGACACGGTGAAGAGGTAGATACTAAGAAATACAAAAAAAAGCAAAATCGGATATTTCTGGAGGCTAGGGAATCCAAAAATGATGAACTCCGTCACACGGGTGAAAGTTATGTTGGAAGAGATCACGGATGGAAAGGGATCTTCATAGATCTAAAGAAGTTTGAAGATTGATCATTTTTGCCATGATAAGGGTGAACATACTTTTAAAAACATATTTTTGTTTTTATCAGGACTAGTGAATATCAGGAACTAGCAGCTTTACCATAAACTCTTGTTTTGGACCCTCTCGCCTGTGATGCCCAGAGTCCATGATGAGATAATTATATGGCTACCTGTCCTCACTAGAAGATTACCAATTTCCTTACTAAAGGAAGCAGACAAGAAATGTGAAAAAGGGGAATCTGATTCTAGGTGCAGAAGAGTCCAGCAACGCCTCTCTCAGTGCCATCTGTATATCTATGACAAGAGGGCAGGCATGTTGGGATCAAGATATCATCCCCCAACTTGAACATTTCTATACTGAAGTTTCTTCTTTGGATAAAAGCTGTAAGCTTGTCCCACATACCAAGGGCCCTTATATTTTGCCTATTCTGCATCAAACGAACCACAGCAAATATAGCCTGACCCATTATGACCTGAGAAATTCTAGACATGGGACCCTCCCCACCCCCTTACATACCACTAATTTCATACCCATTCCCTCATAACCATCCCCTTTATCTCATTTTTTTTTTTTCTTCTCCGTCTTTCATCCACTTCATGGCCCTTGAATTTCCCGTACCGTTTTTACCCCTCCCTCTATGCCCTTTGACCCACTAACATTTCCCAATATCTTATAACCTACACCCAATACCAAGTCCGCACCAAAAAACATGCAGTATATAAGCCAATAGTCAGTAAACCCCCATAACCACAACCCTCCTTTCAAGGAACAAGAGTCATTTCCAAAGAGACATGATCATCATTGTATCATGTCTTTAATGTTTCCAGATTATAGCGTTTATATGCTTTACATCACATGTGTCAAACACAAGGCCCGTGGGCTGAATCCACCCCCACCTTGTCTCAGCAGTCGGAAGCAGAGAGGAGAGAAGAACAATTTGGATATACTGACTAGGGAGTACTCGTAGGCGTTAGATTTTTAAACCAAAGCAAGCGCTGTAAATGGGAGCCGGGCTTCACAGGAAGTCTGCCGAGGTCCCAAGCAAGGCATCGAATCTCCTCCTTCCTGTGGATCCATGCTGCCCGCACACGCCAAGACCGACCAGGGCCCTTGGTGGGACCGCACAGCCCTCCTAAGACCCTGCACAGCCCAGCAGAGACAATGCACAGCCCACCATAGACCCTGCACAGCCCACCTGAGAATCAGCCTAGCCCACCATAGACCCCCGCATAACCCACCTGAGATTCCGCACATCTCACCATAGACCCTGCACAGCCCATCATACACCCTGCACAGCCCACCTGAGAATCCGCCCAGCATAGACCCCGCATAACCCACCTGAGATTCCGCACATCTCACCATAGACCCTGCACAGCCCATCATACACCCTGCACAGCCCACCTGAGAATCCGCCCAGCATAGACCCCGCATAACCCACCTGAGATTCCGCACATCTCACCATAGACCCTGCACAGCCCATCATACACCCTGCACAGCCCACCTGAGAATCCGCCCAGCATAGACCCCGCATAACCCACCTGAGATTCCGCACATCTCACCATAGACCCTGCACAGCCCATCATACACCCTGCACAGCCCACCTGAGAATCCGCCCAGCATAGACCCCGCATAACCCACCTGAGATTCCGCACATCTCACCATAGACCCTGCACAGCCCATCATACACCCTGCACAGCCCACCTGAGAATCCGCCCAGCATAGACCCCGCATAACCCACCTGAGATTCCGCACATCTCACCATAGACCCTGCACAGCCCATCATACACCCTGCACAGCCCACCTGAGAATCCGCCCAGCATAGACCCCGCATAACCCACCTGAGATTCCGCACATCTCACCATAGACCCTGCACAGCCCATCATACACCCTGCACAGCCCACCTGAGAATCCGCCCAGCATAGACCCCGCATAACCCACCTGAGATTCCGCACATCTCACCATAGAACCTGCACAGCCCATCATACACCCTGCATAGCCCACCTGAGAGTCCGCATAGCCCAGCATAGACCCTGCATAGCCGCACTGAGAGTCTGCACAACCCACCATAGAACCTGCACAGCTCACCATAGACCCCTCATAACCCACCTGAGATTCCGCACATCTCACCATAGAACCTGCACAGCCCATCATAGACCCCGCATAGCCTACCTGAGAGTCCGCATAGCCCACCTGAGAGTCCGCAAAGCCCAGCATAGACCCCGCAGAGCCATCCTGAGAGTCTGCACAACCCACCATAGAGGTGGGGTGCGGACTTTCGTGTGCAGTGTGTCATGTCTTTATCACTCCAGCACATCAGCTTGCGAGAGCTCCCATAGCTGTGTGTGCCGAGAGGAAAAATGTCATCTTCAGCCAATCGGCTCTCGCGTATAAACCCGCATGTCACAATGAAGTCCATTCGGTTGTTATGCGGGAGCCGATTGGCTGAAGAGGCAGCATTTCATTTGGCCCGCGCTCAGCTCATGGCCCGCGCATGCGAGCCTCGGTGCCTGACAGCTTTGCTTTGCTCTGCATGCAGTGTGTCACGGGCTTTACTGTGCAATGTGTGTTCAAACAGTCACTTGTAGCCTCCGATAGAAGCACGCATGACAAGGTGACAACACAGAGGCACCGTTGGCAGGATCACCAAGTATTATGTTAATGAATTTCACATCAAATAATGAAAAATGCCTTTTGAAATTACATTGTTAAAGCTTATATGAGAATTACGTGATTATGTTGACATGCAAGTGTGCCAGTTGACCATAAACAGGAATGTGTGCAATGGCGCCTTGGCAGTAAGTGTAAGAGTGGGAGTCAGTGCAATAGTGGCCAGTCTCTGCCATCTTTGTTCATCATCCAGGGTCAGATGTACTTCCTGGACTGAGACACCGGCTCATAGGTGATATGACATGTAAACTCTGGTAGCGCCTGCTGCATACTCTCACCTTGTGACTTGCAACATAGCTACAGTGCATAGTCTGAACGATCACTCGGGGGTGCTGTGGGATCTTTAAACATTTTGTATGACTTTTTTTATCATTGATTTACTTACTTTTTTTTTGGGGGGGGGGGCCTTAGGGAAATATTAGACCTCTGACATTGTCTTTTTACAATAGAAAAAGAAATTGAGGATACAGAGTCCTCAATCTCTCTCTTTTTCTGCATTGTTCTAAATTAATAGAAAGTACTCAGTACAGAGGCTTCCCATTCATTCAGAAGTTGGTCATAGTAAAATAGTTACTATCAACCAGTTTCTGAATGGAGAGAAGCCTCTGTAGTGACTGCTACTACCCATTGAGGAACTCATGAATAAACAGGACGTGATTTAAAGCACTTCCTGTTCATTCATAACTGGGGATACATAGTGCTATGTGTCCCTACGTATTTACAACCACTGTAGTGATCACCTGATCACTCCAATGTTTACGCTGCACACAGGGGATCGGTAAATATCTGTGACCCTCAGAGGGGCGGCACAGGCTGCAGCTTCTCTTTGGATCCCCCCTGCTTTTCCCTGCCTGTATGGACAGAGGCAGCGGGGATCCGAGGAGAAATGAAGGGCTAAAGCTTGCGTGGTGGTGGAGGTGGAACGGTGTCACTTCAGGATGGCCAAGCGTTGAGGAGAGAGAGAGCTGCCGGCTGTCAGATCCTGGCCGAGCGGCTCTCTCTCTCTCCTCACCGCTCGACCATTCTGAAGTGACAGCTCCCTCCTCCACCCCTCCCCGCCGGCTTTGGTGCTTCATTGCTCCTCGTATCTCCACTGCCTCTGCAAATACAGGCAGGGAAAAGCAGCGGGGATCCAAGGAGAAGCTGCAGGCTGTGCAGCTGAGGAGAGAGTACAGGCAGGGAAAAGCAGCGGGGATCCGAGCAGAAGCTGCAGGCTGTGCCGGCCCTCTTCTCCCTGCCGCACTGAGCCATGGCTGTGCCCCCTCGCACCTGCACCTCACCCTTGCTACAGCCCAGGGGCTGACTGGCAACTTTTAGCCCAGGGGGCAAGTACAACCCAGAGGCCCATGGTGCGGCAACTTGGCCCCCCTCCCGCTCTGCCTCTTCCCCGGACGCCCCTGTCTGCCACTTTTGCCATCCTTGTAACAGTAGTGTGAATGTATTTATCGGTTTAGGAAATGTAAAGCACACTGGTAGGGGAGGGATGCCACATCAGGGCTGTGCGCGTGAATGACTGCTGCGGCACTGGTAGTTCTGCCACTAACTCAGAAATACATTGTACAGCATTGCAGAATGGCATTGGCTATAGAGAACTACAATTCCAAGAAATACATTACACAACAATGCAGAATACCATCAGCTATAGCGGACTATAAATCCCAGCTATTCTGGGATTTATTCTGGGATTTATTCTGGTATTCTGCATTTTGCTGTATTGGGGACTACAAATCCCAGCAATACATTATACATGCAGTGTATAATGTATTGCTGGGATAGTGGGATTTGTAGTCCTCTGTAGCTGACGGTATATTGCGATGTACTGTATATTATACCATCAGCTACAAGAGGACTACAAATCCCAGCAATAATACATTATACAGCACAATGCAGAATACCACCAGCTATAGAGGACTACAAATCCCAGCAATACATTATACATGCAGTGTATAATGTATTGCTGGGATTTGTAGTCCTCTTGTAGCTGATGGTATAATATACAGTACATCGCAATATACCGTCAGCTACAGAGGACTACAAATCCCACTATCCCAGCAATACATTATAGAGCACCATGTGGGGGGAGGGAAGTGCAGGCTTACCTGAGCAGTCTTCCAGCAACTTGCTTCTGAGATCGGGACTGTCAGAGTAATTTGATAATATAATACAGGTCCTCTTTTCTATTCAATTTCAAATGTCTTGAAAAACTAAGAATTCTGCAGTTTCCATAGCTTGTTTCTTATCGATATTGTACTTTGCACTTCTTTTATGGTAAAGCATATTTGAACTAGCCGAGGATGTTAAGCTAGCTATAAACTAATGATTCCAAAGTTCTCTGTTCTCACGCCAACAAGTAGAGTTATTAATGACTGATGTCATATGATGCCACGATTCTTGTTATTTAAGACACTGCTATGTGATCATAGGGTACAAAGTTTAAATGCTGATTCAAACTCTTTGTAGAATATTTAAAGGCTTGACTG